AATAAATTTTTTATTTAAAATATTTTATATAATATATTCAAATAATAAATTAATTTTAATAAATTTATATAATGTATCTTATTATGTTTAACTAATCTATATATTCATTACCATGCTTATGATTTTTCTTTAATTTTATATTTTTTTGTTAAAATGAATAAAAGGAGAACTGATCCTTCAACACAGGTTAGGTGCCGACAGAACCTTTTTCAGTGTCGACACTTATGCTTGGTGTCCAAATCAACTCCAAGTCCGAGCAGCTCCTTATCAATTTTCTGATACATCAGCAATTCAATAGGTCCAACAAACGAAATTCATTTGCAAATTGATATCTAATTAATTCTTAAATAGTAAAATTAATCAAGTAATATCATTGCATAAAATTTTTTTTAAAATAATAACTTTAATTAGTTTAGTAAAAAAAATGATACTTTTAATTAAAAAAATTTTAAAAAGTGATGTAATTATATATGAAAAATCTCCACATGAGAGGGTAATCTCCCAGCTGCAATGACGGAAATTCCACTTCCTCAAATTACCACAATTAGGTATTCTTAATTATTGAGATTAGCATGGTTTACAATATTTTGCTTTAGCAAATTAATCCCGAACTCAAAAAGGCATATCGTTTGTTTTTTTCATTTGAATCTTTAATTTCTAGCTCATAATGATATACAGGGATGCTGGCAAGCTCAATAATAGTGTTTCATCACAACATTTAATTGTTAATTTTCACATTTTAGTTTCAAGCATCCCAAGAAGAGTTACAAACCTACAGTATCAATCGGTATCACAGTTTAAAAAAAAATGAAAAAAGAAAAAGAAATAAAAATTGAAGACTAAAAACAGAAAATCAAAAGGGGAAAGGAAAAAATGAACTAAGAATTCAATTTTCCAGTTCAAGAAAGAAAAAGGAAAAATGTCATGTTTCCGTTCTGAGAATAAATTATATCGAATGTATACAGCAGTTAATTGAATTACAAATTATCAACATAGAGCCAATGAAAAGAACAGAAAACAATTTTAAGAAATAATCATAATTAATATATGTACTTGAAACTGTAAAATGATAAATTCACTTTTCGGCTCTAATAGTTTGTTCCCAAATCTTAGTATTTGAATTGAATTAGTTAAGAATTAAAGTTTTATTAACTACTTAAATATATTACTTGACCTATGGATTATAGTTCATTCTCTCAACTTATAAATTGAGCTCA